AAGTTAACCACTCCTTAGCTTCTAGTGGGTCAGTAGAACCTTCAAATTCTGGTGGCTTCATCCTACGAAACCGTACATATAATGGTTCCTGATTAGCAATCGGAATAGCTTGTGGCACCATTTCTGGCATCGCTGCAGGCTCTGGTTGCGGTGCTGGTTGAACAGGTGGCGCTCTTCTTCGCTCCTGTTCCTGGTCTCTTTGCTCTAACTGTGCCCGTAAATTTCTATTTTCATACTCTTGAGCTTCAAGTCTGGCTCGTAAGTTAGCTATGGTGGCAGCTAAATCCACTCTTAATTCTTGAACCAAACATTCTCTACGTTGACGAACCATGTTTCCATGTGTCTACATAAGAAGAATAGTGGTAAACATGGCTAAATTTCTGGATATGTGTGTATGTATAAATCTAAATAAATCCTAGCATCATTTCATAACATAAAGTTGTTTTAAAATAATATAACTTTTATCAAATGTGGTAGCATTCTGGTAGCATTTTAACCACACTTATCATCTAAAAAAATGCATTCCTTAGGTAACCGCATTTTTTTCCTGTATCTGATTCATTTGTATGCCTGTATACATATACACACACATATCCGCTCAAACATACATATACATTCATCATTCATTACTTACATAAGACAAGTATGATTGACGTATACATCTACACTAATCATTTTCTACGTAGGTATTTTTCCTGCCTACGTTCAAACTTCATTCGATGCTCACTAACACGCCGTTCTTGTTCGTCTCATTCTATAGCCAATGTTTCTTCTAATTGTGTTACTTCCTCTAAAAAACTTGGTGAGGGTATATGTAACTTCCAATCGTGGAAATACCATAGTTCGCAACTCCTCTGTTAGCCCCCTCCAAAATATGAAATATGCATCATGTTCCCGTGTGGTCAGTCACAATCTCACTAAAGAACCATTCGAGTTCGTCTTCTCCGAACCATATCGTATATCCTATAAGGACAAAATTCACACATAGAACTCTAAATTCAAAAGAACTAATAACTTACTTGGGCAATGTAGCGTCAGATGCTCAGCAGAATGTGGGTGGGTGGCAGAACCGTCGCTCTGATACCAACTGTGACGACCCTAAGTTTTGATCATCATCCTATACTCATACTTAACATTACTTAACCTTTAACACTTACTAATTATAACCTCTTAAAATTCAGGCCAACTTTTTTTTTCCATGTACGTCTAAATGCTGTAGCATTTAGCTAGCCTTCTGTTTTCAAGTATTTGTAAAATGCTGTAGCATTCTAACAGCATTCTGTACATTAGTCATTGTCAAAATGTTGTAGCATTCTGACAACATTCTGTTATATTAGTCATACCTAAAATACTGTAGCATTCTGACGGCATTCTGTTACATTAGTCATCAAAATACATAAAACACTATTTTATTTTACACATAATGTTCAGCAGCGTTTCCAAAACACGTGATGCATCCACAACCCACTTGCCCACACTCCACTGCTGCATCCTCTCTGCATGCCCAACAATAAGTTTCAAGGAGCCGGTGCCTAACCCGAGCTTCCTACAACACGAACAAACTTAATGAGCTTTCGCTCAGCAAGTATCAATAGGTCATAACAGATGCAATAATTATGCATACCCATATATGCATTCATGTCCTATATCATAATACATTCTGTACTACTAAAACATGTATGGCTTATGTTCTTCTTCTTTCATTACATTCTTTATTCTACTTTCGTCTCATTTTAGTCGTTCATATTGTGTTTTCACGTTCTGAACGACTTTCATTTTCTATTTCTCATTCTTTTCATTCTTCTTTACAGATACCGTACCTTTATATGGAATGGTTT